GTTATTATTATGTTATTATTTATATAGCGCCATCAAATTCTGCAGCGCTTTACAATTGGTGGATGAACAGACATGTAGTTGTAACCAGACAAGTTGGACACACAAGAACAGAGGGATTGAGGGCCCTGCTCAATGAGCTTGCATGCTAGAGGGAGTGGGGTAAAGTGACACAAAAAGGTAATGATAGTATTAGACTCGGGATGGTTGCTAGTGACAATTAGTGACTAGTGACAATTACTCACAGGTTTCTTCTTTAAATAACTGCTAACTAGTGAATTCTTTAAATTTGGGGCACCTCGAAAGGTTTTGGCAGTAGTAGTTCACTCAAGTCCCTGTCGGTTTTGAGTATAGGCCAGAATTTATTAATTCTCTTTTTTAATTATGTTGGTTGTTAAAATCAAACACAAAAACTTCTTTAAAATTATCCTCATCATTTTTATTTATTTTATCTCTTTGGATCAATTCTGTTTGCGTGATTTGTTCAACCTCTCTTAAAGCTTTTTCTCAAATATCTTCAAGATATTGTTTTTCATCTGCTTGCTGTTCCTCTTCCGTGCAATTATTTTAAAATCTAAGTAATTGGCCCTTTGGTATATTATTAAGCCACGGAGAGTAGTGCCCACTGTTAGATGAGACATAACCATTCACATCTACTTTCTTAAAGAAGGTTTGTGTTTTAAGGACTGCTCCTTCTACTTAGATTTTGACATCTAAAAAGTCAATAGATGAGGTACTAATATTGCTTGTAAGGTGTATTCCCCAAGTATTGTTATTAAGAAAAAATTTTTTAAATCTTTAAAACTGTCTTTGGGGCCTTCACAGATAAAAATCATATCATCTATATAACGGCGATAGGCAAGTACTTGTGCACTCCAGTCATGTTGGCCATAGATAAACAAATTCTCCCAATGGGCCATAAAAATATTAGCATTAACTGGGTGCATAAGTACTGCCCATCGTGCATATTGTGTATCACTATGTATATTAACCATCTTTGCAACAATTAGTAAATATCAAAGCACTTTAACTATATCCCTTACCGTATTCAATAATATATGATCCCTTGCAATAATAATGTGCTTATAAACAATCTAATACACAAGTTATAATAGACAATGTGGTTTTTGTAACACTTCACTCTTTGTGGAATCAAACTGATATTTATCTGTTTCCTATTGCATATGTTGCTGTGGTTACCTGGGACACAACCATGCGAGATGTCTTGATATGACCCATCCCCGTGTCACCTACATGCTCGCTATTAAGAATTATAGACTACATTCAATTGCCAGTACTTTGCCCATCTCTGTGAGGATTAAAATGAAGGATCTGGAAATGGCAAGGCACTGACTCTGTTACATCATTTCTGGTCTGTAAAGATTATCAAACTAAGAACATGTGGGAAGCCAGCTCCCCTTCCACGACATTCACGATTGGATGCATCAAGAGTAAAACAACCGATCAGAGCGAGGACAAGTGATTTAAATAGGAGACTACATCAGGAGCAGATTACACCAATTGTAAAGCGGCTTTTGTTTTTCATATTATATAATTTTCATACATTTGCATTTGACATCCTACAAATAATCCTGTGGATTACAAACAACTATCTGCTTCTACATCAAAGTTGGGCTTTGCCCCTCTCTGTTGATACATTAGCTGTTAAACCAAGAGCCAAGTTTTATATGCTTCTCTTTGCTTCTCCCTTGATTGCATCTGACTGAATTACAGAAGAGAGGCATAATGAAATGTGGACTCCATTTAAAATAACTCATAATCTGCTTTTTAAAATTAAAATATTGGTAAATCTTGTGAACAATATCTAGATTTTGCAGTCCACCGGACAGCTCCAAATTATTTTTACTAATCCAGATCGAGTGCATTCAGACTTTAGTGAATAACCTTGGTATGGTAGCATCTCTCTTTAAAGGTCTATCTATGCCGATATATTCTCTTCCTACTTCTTTATCTGCTTGCACCTTCATTTGCTTAACAATGTATCTCAGCATTATATTTACAATTAAACGCATACTAATTTTTCATTTCCATTCATCTCCATCACACTTCAATTGATTCATACATCCACGGGAAAGATAATATACAGTTTCTTTACCCTTTAAATTCATTTTTTCATGATTTTCCTCTGGCTTGTACTTATTACTAAATACAAATATTTTAAATATTAAATAATGTGAATGCATTTTTTTTTTACTTTGTTACTGCAAATGAGAATTGTGGTCAGGAACATTTGAATTCTCTATCTATTCTCTGAGCATAAAATTAAGTTTAGAACACTTGACCTTCAGCATTTCAAATTGAGCTCTACAAGTCTACTCTATTTAACATGCTTATAAAAATACTTTTATTTTTTTTTTAATCATGGCCCTAATAATTATTTTGCCTACAGCTCAGCCAGAGAAACACCACTAGATGAGTCAGCTGTAATTACAGGATGTAATTACATCCAGACTTGTCATTCAACACACCAATTGATGAATTACATGTAGTAATGCAAGAAAACCATGCTAAGAAATAATGACGTATGTGACAGCAACAAGTTCATAAATTAAGTTTGTCCTCAGCAATTAAATTAAGAGAATGCAATAACTGAATATATACCATCTATGACTGTCTAAAGCCTAATAATTTATAACTATGGCAAAATGTTGAATGATTTTAAATTGCATAAATCATTTCATGCTCTGATATTATTCATTCATTTTGTAAAATGTGCTTCATGAATGCTACAGGAACCTTATTAGAAACAATATATACAGTACAGCATATATTTTTTTTTGCTTTGGTTTTTACTATATGTATTGGAGCTGATGTGTGGTCGTTGCTGCCACCCAGGAGTGATGGGAGTGAGCGCAGGACTTTTCTTTTTGTATTTGTATTCACTTTTTGTATCACACAGCTATGTTACAATGCTGTCGCCCATCCTATATGTTCCCTAGTAAGGGTTAATAAATATATATATAGGGGTGTATATAAAAAATACCCCTCTCTGTCTCTTTAGAGATATCTTTGCCAGAAGCTCAAGGAAGCAAGGTGAAGGGTCAGAGTAGGACTCATCTAGGGGGGTCTACTTTGACGCAGGCAGGCGGGCATTCCCTCCAGTGGCCGTTGGAGTAACTAAATGACCTCCATTTGTTTAAATATACATAGGGATTAAGGAGAGAGCGCAGGTAACTTTTTTCCTTTGGTTTTTACTAATGCATATAAGCCTGCTTTGATGACAGCAAGGATTCCTTCAGTTTACTAGTTTTCTGTTGGATCATTTGGGATGAATCTCCCGTAAAATTAAGAGGTAGCAAAAAAAAAGATGATTAATGGTTAGGGGACAGCCACTAAATGTTGATTTTAGATCAAGTGAAGTGACCAATAGAAGGAAAATTAGGAGAACCAATAAAATAACTATATTTCAAGCAAGATTCTTCTAAACGCTATTACTTCTGTTACAGAGGGAGACAGAACCGCAATAATACAGTGTGTTTACCCTTACTGTGTCTGTGTTGAAGTAGGGGTAGCCTGGTTCATTGATTCTAGTGTGAGACTGGAGGTTAGCTTACTGCTGTTCCTAACCACTGCCAGAAGCACAGCACCACTTACACCAAATTTGAGTTGGAAATAAATAAAGCCTGTTTAAAGGATTACTATAGTCTACATATAAAAGCAAGAAAGACAGGTCCCCTAGCCTTCTTCCTTGCTTTTATATGAATTTCCCCTTATTAAAAATAATTTTCAAGCCCTTTTTTATTATATAAACTTACGTCTGTTCCGGCGCCGAGATCGCAGTCAGGCCGCGACCCCTTTTTCATCAAAATGACGAAGTTGCAGGGCTTAAAAGGACGCTTCTCTTAGAGAAGCATCATCGCGATTTGGTGCGCATGCGCAGCTTCGCACTGCACCAATCGTGCTGCACCAATCGTGCTGCACCAATCTTGCTGCACCAATCGCGTTCTTCATAGAGCAACATTGAATGCCACCTTATGAATGAACTCAGCGCTCTACCGCGCATGTTTGCAGTATGCGCGTTCACAAGCTGAGCTGAATGATAGCTCAGCTCGCTTTCTTTGCCCGTCCCCCGCCTCCGCAACTCTCTTCAGCCCAAACTTTGTGTGTTTGCATATATATAGTGTTTGTATAGAAACACACAAATAGTAAAAATTGCAAACATACACACACTCTCCATCCATCCATCCATCCCTCTCTATCTATCCATCCCTATCCATCCATCTATCCCTATCCATCCATCCCTCCCTTCCTATCCATCCATCCCCCCATCCATCCCTCTCTATCCATGCATCCATTCATCCCTATCCATCCCTATCCATTCATCCCTATCCAGCCATCCATTCATCCCTATCCATCCATCCCTCCCTCCCTATCCATCCATCCATCCAACCAGCCCTATTAATCCATCCATATCTATGCATCCATCCCTCTCTTTCCATCCATCCATCCATATCCATCCATCCATCCATCTCTATCCATCCCCATCCATCCATCCCTCCCTATCCATCCATGCCTCTCTATCCATCCGTCCATCCCTCTCGATCCATCCATCCATCCCTCTCGATCCATCCATCCCTCTCTATCCATCCATCCCTCTCTATCCATCCATCCCTATGCATCCATCCCTATCTATATCCATCCATCCCTATCCATATCATCCATCCCTATCCATCCATCCATCCCTATACATCCCTCCCTATCCACCCATCCATCCCTATCCATTCCTCTCCATCCATCCATCCATCCATATCTCATTCATATCCATTCATCCATCCATCCCTCTGTCCCTATCCATCCATCCCTCTCTATCCATCCATCCATTCATCTCCATCCATCCATCCATCCCTATCCATCCATCCATCCCTATTCATCCATCTCTCTCTCCCATCTCTATCCATTCATCCATATCCATCCATCCCTATCCATCTTATCCATCCATCCATCCATCCATATCCATCCATCCATCCATCCATCCCTATCCATCCATCCAGCCCTATCCATCCATCCATCTCTCTCTCCCTATCCACCCATCCCTCTCTATCCATCCATCCCTATCCATCAATAGGGAGGGATGGATGGATTGATGGATAATGATGGATGGATAGAGATGGAAGGATGGATGGATGGAGAGAGAGATGGATGGATGGATTGAGAGAGAGGGATGGGTAGAAAGCTATGGATGGATGGATGGATGGATAGAGAGGGATGGATACAGGGATGGATACAGGGATGAATAGAGAGGGATGGATAGAAGAGGTGGATGGATGGATAGAGATGGATGGATGGATAGACATGGATGGATAGAGAGAGATGGATGGATGGATAGAGAGGGATGGATAGAAATAGATGGATGGATGGATAGAGAGGGATGGATGGATCCTTCCCTCACTCTCTCTCTCTCTCACTCAATCTCACTCACAATCACTCACCCACCCACACTCACAATCACTCACCCAAACTCTGTCACTCACCCACTATCACTCACCCACACTCAATCACTCACTCACAATCACTCACTGTGGTGAAAGCCACTTCGCCACTGGGGTTTGGAGGGGACTACTTGCCAGCCTTTTACCCTGTGACTATGGCCCCTTTAATTTATTGTGGTTGAGAGACCCTATTTGTGCCTATTGTGATTTTGAACATTGGTTCTTCGAACTTTTGAAATGGTTCGAAATGGTACTTCAAACTCCCGGACAGTCAAAGTGGTCACCATTCGACATTCGAACATGTGGAGGTGGCCATCTTGTTTAGTCAAACATGTTCAGCTGTGTTTTTTCATCGAGTTCATGGAACTCAAATTGGACATGCGACGGCACAAGCATAGCTGAACAGTTACCTTCCATGGAACTTCTGCTATTTGAACGGGAGTCGAACAGCATTTGATGAGTCGAAGCCTACGAACAAGGGACATATACTGACGGCATTCAAACGGTACTTCAACTGTTTGAAATAGACCGGCCGCACATCCTAATTCTCTGGAACTGTTTTGGGCATGAAACCATGCGTGCGGTCAGTCAAGAAGAGGTTTGCAGGAATTTCTGAACACCTGCTCTGATCTATGTGATTTATGTATATGTTGTTTAACCAGATCAGAGCTATCGGGGATGTGTTGGGGATATGTTGTGTTTTGGGGTACTTTATAAAAATGTGTGTTTTTCTGCCTGGGAATAATTAAGTTAATGCATTATCTGCCTTAATAATCTCCCCAGGCAGAGGGGAGAGATTGTGTATACTGTATGGGAGTGTCTCACGTTTTTATTGGTTTATTAACTTTGTGTCCCTGTGCCCAACAAGGTCCATGTGGGTGTCACCATTGTTGGGAAACTTGCATAAAGGCCAGTGTGCCTCCATTAAAATTGAGTTCCTCCTTAACCCTCCACACGTAGCTTGATCTCGTGATTGGAGGGGAACTGCTATACTCCTTATACTCCTCTGGGTTCTAATCACTAGCTCTTATAAGAGCTGTTCCTGCTACGCTCTCTGGAGCAGGAGAGGTATTTCCCACATGGTCCTGGATATCAGAGGTTGGTCCAGGGTGGGAGGAAGACAGCGAGATCTCAGCTAAGCTACGGCGGTTGTGGTGTCCGGTGCTATGCTTACGGTCCTCAGCGTCAGCTAGGAAGCATCTGTTGCCAAGTCAGGGTGCAAAGTGATCCGTCAGACTCACTCACCCACACTCTATCACTCACCCACACTCAGTCACTCACACTCACTCACCCACTCTCTCACCCATACTCTCTGACCCACACTCAATCACTCACCCACCCACACTCACAATCACTCACCCACCCACACACACTCACCCACACTCAGTCATTAACCCACACTCAATCACTCACTCACAATCACTCACTCAGCCACCCACCCACACTAAGTCACCCACTCACTCCCCCACCCACACACTCACCCACACTCAGTCCCTCACCCACCCATCCACCACCCACACTCAGTCCCTCACCCACCCACCCTCACTCAGTCACACTCAAAATCACTCACTCACCTACCCACACTCAATCACTCACTCACCCACACTCAGTCACTCACCCACACTCAGTCACTCACCCACACTAAGTTACTCACCCACACTCAGTCCCTCACCCACCCACCCTCACTCACTCACACGCACTCAGTCACTCACTAGCCCACCACCCACACTCACTCAGTCACCCACACTCACTCAGTCACCCACACTCACCCAGTCACCCACACTCACCCAGTCACTTACTCACACTCACCTAGTCACTCACCCACACTAAGTCACCCACCCACACTCAGTCACACTCACTCACCTATCTACACTCAGTCACTCACCCACACTCAGTCACCCACACTCAGAGATACTGACAGACACACACACACACACTAACATTCACTGAAACACACAAACACACAAACACTCACTCACTGACACACACACACAAACATTCACTCACATTCACTGACACACTCACTCATGTTCACTGACAAACACACTCACACACTCAAAAAGAAAAGTCCTGCACTCACTCCCATCACTCCTGGGTGGCAGCAACGACTACAGTACACATCAGCTAATAAATATAGTAAAAACCAAAGACAAAAAGTTACCTGCGCTCTCTCCTTAATTCCTGTATATTTAAACAAATGGAGGTAATTTATTTACTCCAATGGCCACTGGAGGGAATGCCCGCCTGCCAACATCAAGGCAGACCCTTAGACGGGTCCTACTCTGACCCTTTACCTTGCTTCCTTGAGCTTCTGGCAAAAATATCTCTAATGAGACAGAAAGAGGTATTTTTTATCTACACCCCTATATACTTGTTAACCCTTAATAGGGAACACATAGGATGGGTGATACTCACACACTCACTCACATTCACTGACACACACACACTCACTCACTTTCACCGACACACACACTCACTCACATACACTGACACACACATTTTCCCTAAACACTCACAATTATTATTTAAAAAAAAAAAATCTAATCCACCCAGCCTCCCTACTTTTGGGAGAGCTGGGTGGATTTTTCATCTGGAAAAGACGGGTGGACGCGTAAGTAGACAGGCGGCCGCGCTTAGCTGTCAGTGATCTCCCTGCTCAGCTCCCTCGAGTGCCACAGAGTGATGCCGGAAGCCGGACTAATGTAGCAGTCTTCCCCGGGGGAACCAAAGGTGGCCAGCCAGCTCTTGGGCCCCCATAAAAGAAGGCATTAGCCTGGGCATTTGGTGGCGGCTTTTTTGCCACCTCCCGGAAATTGCAGCCCAAGGCAAATGCTTTATTTGCCTCACGGTAGATACAGCCCAGTGTATAATTGCTGGTCAAGCCACTAAGAGTGAGACTTGCCTGGAAGTGTATTAAGAGTTTCTACAAGCAAAACTGATGTTTTGTAAACTAGCAAAATAGCATTTATGTAATAAATCATATCTGGCTACTAAAGAACTATTTTGACTAATTGCATTTTTTTTTTCAATTTGACAATTTTTATTGAGTCAAAGGCAAGTCGGAGGGGAACAGAAAAAAGAGAAGGGAGGAAGTTCACAATGATATCGTTGGGTGAATCGAAGCAATCAACAAATACCAGTGCCCACTGCTGAAGTGATGAATACACATATCAATAATCAATAATTATATGCATCCTACTTTACACGGAAGATCGATAGGCTCACACCCTATGGTTCACGTTTAATCACTTGTAAACATCGGTCTAGCAATTTGACATCATTGTGTAGTAACCCTGGAGTTGTAGTAGTGTTCGATTGAAACCTCGTGAGATAGTGGCAATTTTCATTCTATCAGTTACTTTACTGTGCCAACAACCCTCCTCAGTGCTTGCTGTCTGAATCTTCGCTTTCACCTTTCACCTACATCCTCCAAATATTTCTACCATTAGCGTGGTCTCTTGTTCCTCTTAAAGTCACCTGACTCTAGGTTTTAATGTTTTGTGATAGAAAAAGTAAACAAAATAAGGAAGGAAGGAAAAAACTATACACAGGACATCGATGTCTTGTGTGGATGGAATCAAAGCCGGGGTTAGCCCCCGTATGGCATCTCGTAACTGATGTTGATACCCTTAGTTGCCATTGGCACTCTACTCACAACTGCAATGCTCCTCAAAACAGCCCAAAATGAGTTCTATGTGACCCCCAACTGCATATTGTTATCCCCTCTCCCCGCCATATCTCCCTTCCATTTCCACGACTTCACAATGATTTTCCACACCTCACGTCTGGTCCTTTTTCCAACAATATGCCGTTTACCTATCAGGGCTTGGTGAAACATCAGAATGATTAGTTATATATGCGTCCCATAAATCGCATGCTCATTTTAAGTGTTTTTTGTTCCAATGGTCACATGTGCCATGGATTCATAATTCAGATTTAAGGATATATGTGTTAGCAGTGTCAAAGCTGTTGGTAAATCAGTGGACTTCCATGCCCTAGCTATCAATAGGTTTGCTACTACTAATATGTGAAAAAGTTGAATTGCAGCCGATCTCTGGAAATGTTCCAGTGATATAAATAAAAGGCCTAGTGCAGAAGTGAGGGTGGTGTTTGTTCCTAGCGCGTTAGTACAATGTTTTCCACTATGTTCCAAAATGGCTTATAGGCTAAGCACTTTCACCAGGTATGGAGCATTGTGCCTGTCTCTTGTGAACACCTTCAACACATGTTAGATGCAGTCAAAATATGCAAGACAATCTATCTGGCACCACATACCATCTATACTGGAATTTCCTCATCATTTCTAAATGTGATCTAGGTAAAGAGAAAATTGGGAAAGAAACCCAGTACATGTATAGAATGAATAATAACCAGGAGTTAAAACGATTATTAGGGCCAGTAGATATCAGCCACATGGATCTTCATGAATTCCTCTGATAAATGCATACAGAGAGCCACATATGGTGAAGTACAGTAAAATCACAAGAAATGTATTAAAGTTGCACTTACAGGCAAGTAGCAAATCTGGGCATATCTCCAACCAAGTGGAACCAGATGATAAGAAGATGGATTCTCTTAGTGCCAGCAAGAAAGTACAAAATAAAATCAAATACAAATAAAATAGTTACTGTGTAGCTCCAATTAAAGAAAATGCAACCAAAGTGAACGATCGAAAAAATCAATCACTGAGGGTGTATTGGTTGTAGGGTATTTAGGGCATAACCCAGAATT